GCCATGTGGATCATTTTAATTAGATAATTATTTAAATAAAAATTAACTTTTATTTTTTCAATAGTAATTAATGTGAAAAAGTGCAATAATTACACCTTTTAATAGTACATGTTAGAAAAATCCAAAAAAGAAAAATCAAGACATCCTATTTTTAAAAATGTTTGTACATCCAATTATAACACTTCGAGTCTAAAACAAAGAAATATATGGGTTAAATATAAGTGCTATTTCACTTATTACCAATTGGTTTTAAATTAGATACAAAGCTTATGTTGAACCCACGTACACAATTTTTACATGGCATTAGTGCTTAGGTTCCGTTTTGGAAAACTCGTTGTTAGCCTACCTGATAAGTTTTGAAGTTCATACTAGGTTTGCATATAAGGGTAAGAGGGCATATTATATTGTGGGTTTGTGCATGAGGGGGCGGGTCGAGTGAGAAGAGAGTTACTCCACTTATTGTCAATTGGTTTTAGGTTAGATACAAATGCACAATTTTCACAATAACTATTAAATGTGCAGCCATAATATGGGTTCTATCTTTATTAAGTTCATCACATGACAATTATTAAATGTCCTAACATTTTTAATTTTAAAACATCTTGAAATTTTTTTTTTCCTTTTATGAATCTCTGTTAATTTCTTCTATAATACTATCACGTAAAAATGTAACAAATAAAATGGACAGAGATACTAGCTACGGTGTCTTGGATGTAGCTCGGTAATTGGAACCTCGTTCATTGAAGCCAAGGCAAGTCCATAGAAAATAAGGGTATTTTTTGTGTGGACCTTCTAATTATTTTCAGTAATCAAGTATATATGCCATGACCGATTAAAATGACATGAATCAAATTATATAATCAAATTATACACTTGAATCATGGGTTTGTACAGTCTAAGGGTCGTGATAAAGAGTAATTATTGTTTGTAATTGATATTTTTTTTTAAAAAAATGTGAAATTTTAAATAAAAAAATACAAGTTCTGATTTTTATTCTAAAAGGATCAATAAAAAAAAAACTAGCACGTAACATTTGGCAATTAAAACAAAAATAACATCTATTTCAAGATTTTTTAATATTTACTTTTTATTTTATGTCTTAAGGGCACATGATAGATAAATTGATAAATTATTATTATTCAATAATTATTTCTTTTGAAGTACATGATAAATAAACTGGTCATTGACATGAACATAAACTTTGAAATTGAAAGAATATAAACTGAGTTTTATCTGGTATATACCAGCAAACATAGACACAAAACATAAAGCATACATATTGTTTTTTAATAAAAAACAGCAACTCAAACATGATAGTTACTAAAACATAAGGAAGTTAAAAAACTGTAAAATAAAATACTACACCATGACTCATGAATCACAAACTAACATAAAGAAAACTGCTACATAACATAACTGTCATAATAAAATTAAAAGACTTGGTCTCAGTTGCTTCAACACTCCTCCTTGAGAGCAAGTCTGGTAACTCCAAGCTGCTCTCTCAACATTTCAAACCTCTGTTTTGGCAAAGACTTTGTAAGAATATCAGCAAATTGAACATCTGAGCTGCAGTGTAGCAACTAAATCTGCTTGTTCTTGATGTACTGCTTAATTACATGATACTTGACATGAACATGTTTAGTCCTCTTGTGCTGCACAGGACTTTGAGCAATCACAATAGCTGACATACTATCCACATAAATTAAACTAGGACCAAGTTGAGGCTGTCCCACATCAGTCAACATTTTCCTCAACTAGATTGCATGATTTGAGGCTTCTACAGCTAAAATATATTCTACTTCGGCAATAGATTGAGCAACTACATCTTGCTTAAATGAGATCCAACAAAAAACACCAAAACCAAATTTGAATAAATAACCAATAGTACTTCTTCCATCATCTAAGCTAACAGCTCAATCACTGTCAGAGTACCCCACCAAAGAACCAGAATCAATTTTCTCAAACCAAAGTCCATAATCCGAAGTACCATTCACATACCTCAACACCCTTTTTGCAATAGCAAAATGAAGTTGAGTAGGAGAACTCATGAATCTAGATAGAAGACTAGCAGCATACATGATATCAGGCCTCGTTGCAGTAAGATAGAGCAAACTGCCAACTACACTCCTATATTGTGAAGCATCCACATATACACTTCCATCCCTTTTGGACAATTTTTCATGCAAAACAAGTGGAGTCGAAACTGGTTTGCTATTGTCCATACTGAATTTTTTCAAAAAATTCAATGCATATTCCCTTTGTGACAAGAAAAAACCATTATTGCATTGCTTAATTTCCAGACCATCTTACTAATAACGTGCCATGCCAAAATCTATAATTTTAGAGTTCATATTTGGCAAAATGTCCAAATTCACTCTCACAGTATAGTAATAGGGACGGATCCACCCCCGAACAAAAAAAAGATAAATCCACCCTTCAAATTTTTGATTTGGACAAATAATCAATTATTTGACCAACCATGTCAGCTGACATCATCTTCCTGTTACTCACAAAATTATTTGAGTGTTAATATGATTTTGGAATTAATTCTAAAATTGGTCGAAGAAAAACCAAAGATTAATTCCAGTTTATTAACAATTTTTATTTAATTAAAATAATTTAAAATATTGGTTTTGTTTTGGAGGGACCTAATTATTACCCAGTCTAAAGTGAGGGACCCAAGTGTCAATTAGTTCGGTTTTGGTTTTTACTAAATAAATATTAATCAATTTTTTTCTAATTATAGATTATATTTTATCTCATATTTTGTCATATTTATCCAAATTTCAGTTTTCAGGGGGCTTATTTTCAATTTTTGGTTTGTGAAAGGTTCAACCAAAACCAAACTGAAATTTATTTGGTTAATATCAAAACCAAAACAATAAAACTCAAAAACCATTGAAACCGAACCGAATTCATTTTTTCAGTTCAGTTTCTGGGTAAGCATTCGGTTACCCACCCGAATGCCCAACCCTTGTCCCGTCCTCTCCAAATTGGTCCCTTCCCCTTCCTCTTTCATCCCATGTGAAGGGATCTACGTCGAAGCCTTGTCACCAAGCCATTCATCCCCTCTAAGTCATGGATCTGAAGCAAGTTGAAGGAATCTAGGGCTTTAGGTGGGTGGCAACTCTAAGGCTAGGCGGGCGGCAAATCCAGGACTAGGAACTGTCGGGATTGAAGGAAGAAAATCGGATCACTCCGATTTGCCTGTAAAAAGGAGGGAGCTTTTCGGGTGGAGGGAAGAAGAAAAAAAAGGGGGAAAAATCAGAGAGAAGGAAGAGAAGAAATAAAAAGAGAAGAAAAAAACTGAAGAGAAGCAGAAAGAGTGCGAGAAAAAATCAGACAGTACTGACATTATCGGTCTTATATTTTGTTGTTGATTCCTATCGTGTACATCATGCTTAAATATTGAATGAGAATCTGATTTTTGCTCCTACATTTGTGTACATTTATTCTGAAATTTTTGTTTGATGATTGTTGTGGTTGAATTTTTCTGGAATTGAGGTTTGAAATCGTTGAAGTTATTGTACAAACAAACTCTGTTTAACTTGGTTTATGCCTAGGATCTGTTTTCCTATTTTTAGAAAATTTCTGGAATAAAAGAAAGAAAGAAAGATGTGAAACGGACCAATGCTTTCATCAATTTTTGACCCAACAAAAAAATAAAATAAATATGAGACTTTTAATGGTTAATTCTTCTTTATTACTGAGATAGATTTTTTTAGATGGATTTTTAGCCACTAATGATCTCAAGAGCTACAGCACCAAAGCTATAAACATGAGACTTAACTAATTGAAAAATTCACATTTAGAAGATACTTTAGAGCCATATACCCATCAAATGCAGCAGCCGAAATAAAGGATTTATGTATTTTGGACAACCTAGAAAATATAACTACAAGCTAATGAACATAAAAGCTTTGAATTGTCTGAAATAGAAGTATCATTCATGTTGGATTTTTATTTTCCAAATACTTTTTGACCTGCATTCCCTAGGACTTCGAGTCATCTTCTTGAAAGAAACTTCAATTTGGGCTTGGTAACAGAAATGGAGAAACAGTAAGAGAGATTGGATTTATCTCCTATGTGAAAGAGAGAAGTAAAATATTGTGGATGCCTCTTGCATGACTTGAATTTCATGTCGAATAAATTTC